TGGTGTTACAGAGCAAAACATTTCATGCTTGTTTTGAAAATGGTTTGCTACTCGCAAGTAGGCTAAAATGCAAGTTTTGCCACCCTCGAGTGGGCTTTTAGAAAAGATGGTTTTGCCACTATATGGTGGGCTTAAAATTCGACCTCCATCCATAGGCATTCAAGCAGTTATATCACATAAGTAGCTAGCCTCATGGTAATCATGCAATTATGGCAACACTCACACGCATGCGGTATGCTAAAACATAAATGCTTACCGAGTACTCCGAGCCAAAACAAAAACTAGTTAGTAATCATATGCATGATCCTAGTTCATGTTAAGATGGCTAATGCAACACATGCAATGATGCAATCCAAACAGGCTCAGCTATCCTAAACATGGCATGTGAAACGCTGCAACTAACAAATACTCAACTTGGAATTGAAATACGAGTGCAGTTAGCATGATGTACCGAGCCTGGTGCATGTAAGACAAATGTATGGATGCACGCATGCTAAGCATAAGGTATGCTGATTTAAAGATGCCCTAGTTTACCATCATAAGCGGGTAAATAAAAGGGAAGAAAGACGTGGGGTTGGAAGACATACACACACTCACGCACACTTATTACACAACTACCCTTGCTCGGAGGGTCCAAATAAATATTACAGTCCGAATAAATAATACTAAATTAATTATTACAAAATTTCTAATCTAATTAACAAATTAAATGCAAAGAGAAGATGGCCGCAGCCCACGCCTCGGGATGCGTGAATGATGCATGCTCGGATTTATCTTGCCCCGAAAGCCCATACCATACCACTGCTGCCTCTATTTACACTGCCCTGCTTCTCTGAAAACTGCCAAAATCCTGGGACAGGTTCCTTCAACCCTGTAGGACACCATCGGCTGAAGGGAATACCCACCGGCCATGGAACTTATCCATCGGCTGGGGTTTCATATTATTGGCCACCGATCCATGGCCGGTCGGCACTCTACAGTGCCGGTCGGCAAAAACTCCCTGCAGAAACTGGTTTTTGACAGCAACAAGGACAGACAGTGTATGGCATAGAATTTCAAGCAAATGTATGCGCGGGCACACTCCCTATCATGCAAGGGACTCAAGGGAGCATGACCCTCGACCCTCGGGCCATCAATCATACATTTTGATGTGTGATGGCCTAAGAGGCCGAGGTTGCAATTTAATGTAAAATGCATGCAAACAAAACACATGAATACCAACACCCTATCATGTTGGAGTCAAGGGGTTTGGCGACCGAGGGTTGAGGCGTGTTTTGTCACTTGAAGTACAAGCACTCCTCAATCCCCATGCCCGGTTTGACACCCCAAACCAAGCAATGCAATGCATGTTGTGCAAACATGGCTCAAAAATGCAACATGACACTAAAATACAAGGCATGCCGAATGTAATGCAACATATCATGGCTAGCATACAATGTTCCTAACATGCAATGCCACAATGCAACTCACCATGTAATGCTAATATTGGTACAATGCAAGCATGCAATTAGGGGCAACAAGTCAAGCATACAACCAAGGGACTTAGACTAAAATGGGAGGCCTCAAACACCTCCAAAAACAGTGGCTAAAAGTTCCTCAAACAATGGACGAAATGCACTACAAACATGCAAGTCGAAAGGGCCCAAGGCTAAGGCATAACAAAGGGCACTCCATTGCTACTAACCCAAACAAGCATGGCATGAACTATACAACCAAAACAGAATTTTAGCATGCAAAACGAGCTCCAAAATCCACTGGTATGGCAGCCCCAAAGTGACCCAAACACATAGGCATACACAATGCGCATTTCAAGGCATGAAAACACAACACTTCGAGGCATTGAAAGAGACACAAAGGACAATGTAAGGCCACATTATATGGACTGAAATATGATCTCAACTAAGGCCAAATGATGATAATGGGCTAAGCTAGGCATGTTAATGATCCATATACTCAAAGTTCATGATCCAAAATGCAAAGCAACTATATCAAGCATGCTAAACAAGTCCAAATCAGTGGCCAACAGACCTCATGCATAACAAAATATGGCCAAGAACTTCACAAAGCTAGGCAAGAATATGCAAGCATGATGACCTAATGGCTAGATGCATTTCTAGGCAAAATGGGGGAATACAAAGCAAGTGTATTAAGCATGAGAGGGGCCAACAAACCGACATGGGACAGAGGTAAAACATGCTAAATAAACACCAAATAACCTCTGAAATTAAGCCAAACAAAGCTAGGCATACATGCTACCCTTCAAACCAAAACAAGGATAAAAGAGAGATAAAGGGGAGAGGGGTGTCCCATCCCTATGCAAGACCTCAAACGATCTTCTTCACCACTGAAAATCCACCGGATTTCAGTGGTGAAAAGAGCAATACAACAAAGGTCAACAAGGCTTATAGAAAAAGCACCAAAAGAGGCCAAAAGAGGCCTAAGAGGGAGAGTTCGACCCCCAATGCCAAAATGACCTCAATGAGATGTCTTAAGCACGAAAATACAAAGCTTTTTTCAGTTATACACAAAGCCTAAAACAGAAAGCAAGATAGGTCAAAAGCCAATGCAAGATTGGGGAAACTAAAGTAAAGTAATTACCCTTGAAGAACCTTTGAAGAACAGTTGGTCCAGCCACCCTCTGTTGACCAAAACCAGTCCAAAACCTCAACAAACAACCCTCAAAGTCCCTCAAAGTCGGAACAAGATGTAATGGTGTGTGTGTGTTAGTGCAAAAGTAAGGTCAAAATGCACTTTTAGGCTTCCAAACACACCTTAAGGATGAGAGAGAGGGAGATATAGAGAGAGAGGATGATATATCAGATATATAGATATAGAAGCTCTGGTTTTTTGATTCAAAAGCTCCAACCCCCAACAAAGGGAGAGGATGAGTGCTTATATAGGCAAAGGCCAAGGTTCTAGGCTTCTCCAAGAAGCTAGATGAAAGGGGCAAAGGGGTGCAAAGGGTTCTTGGCTTCTTGGAGAAGCTAATACAGCTGGCCAAGCTTCCCCAAGAAGCTTGGCCAAAGGGTTCAAGCTTCTAGAAGGAAAGGGGGTTCAAAGGTTCACACCAGCCAAAAACTGCATGGAGAGGAGTGATGGTGCATTCCAGCTGGAACAGCTGGCATGCACCATGCCTCAAGGGTGCAAAGGAGTCACACCGGCCAGCAAAAGAGGTCGCTGGCAAAATAAAGTGTCGGCCGGACAAATATAGTGCCGACCAGCCATTGGTTTTAAGAAACCATGGCCGGTGGCACCCATAAACAGCCGGTGATGCTAGGGGATGGCCAGTGGAATGTGGGGATGGCCAACAAGCCATTCCCCGCCCTTCAAGGAAGAAACACAAGTGTTTGGTGCCAAAACCAAACACGAAACAGTCGAGTCGAGAGATCCTGAGGCAAGGCGCGCAGCCAAGACTTTCGGGAACTCAAAACGAAACACAAACAAAGAGGATCACTGAGTGTTCAAGTGGTAACGTCCAAGCCTTGAGGACGGTCAAAAATGGGGTGTCTACAGTAAGTCAGACCCCAACTTTCACATCGGGTTGTACCTGAACTCGATGGCATTGTACACTGGGAACAAGCCGTTGCTCTACAAGGTGTTCCTCTCTTCCTTCTGGGAAATTGCATCAGATTGGTTTCACAAGTTGCCAAAAGGAATTGTAAAAACCTACGAAGGCCTGGCCGAGATGTTTGTGGCTAGGTTCGTGACAAACAAGTTACAACCATTGAGAGTGGATGCCCTGATGGCCTTGAGAATTAGTGAGGACGAAAGCCTTAGAGCCTATGCCAAAAGATATTATGAGGTATTCAACCGAATACCAGGATGCAACCAAAAGGTGGCGGTTGTGTCATTTAAGAATGGACTAAAAGATGACTGCCTACTTCAAAAATCGCTGGCAAAGACATTGTCGAAAAGCATTGAGGAGCTTATGGCCAGGATAGAGAAGTATGACAAGGCCGAGGAGGACACGCCGGGGACAAACGTGTTGAAACTAGAGAAGAAAAACGGCTCGCCGAAGCGAGGCCGAGGTGATAGTGGATACAATAAACCAGAGACAGGATTAAGGGCTGCACAGGCAGTCACAACCGTATTCCGAATCCCTATCTACAAAGTCCTGGAGAAAATCTGAAATCAACCCTATTACAGAGTACCAGCAAGGGTACCAGGCGAATTTATGGGAAGAAGCTTTGGCAAGCATTGTGCCCACCACAACGAAGCTGGACATCTGACTCAGGGGTGTAGAGCCCTGAAGGCTCATCCGGAAGACCTGGTAAGATAGGGCCATTTAAGGGACCTAGTCGACGAAGCTAGGACAAGGAAAGAGCAGGCAAGACTGCCCCAAGCACCAGCAGCAGCACCACCCCCAGCACCGCAACCGTAGGCAGGCAGACCTTGGGTGATCAATGTGATCCACTCGAAGGTTAATAAGGACAAAATACGTGGGGAAACTCAGAAGGTGAAACACTTGCAGCGAGTGCACCAAGTCAGGCAAAAAAGACCTAGGGCAGACAAATGCCAGGGACCAGTGATGTCCTTTACTGAAGACGATCTAGAGATGGTGCAGCATCCACACAATGATGCCTTGGTAGTATCCTTCCAAATTGGAGAGTGCCAAATGAAGCGCATCTTAATCGACCAAGGCAACTCTTGCGACATCATGTATGTCAGATGTTACAAGGAGTTGGGCCTTCATCAAGACGATTGGAGCAATCCAATGGTCCTATGGTCGGGTTCAATGGAACGCCGACGTGGCCCTTGGGGGCAGTAAGTTTGGAGGTGCAGGCTGGCACCAAGAGGATAAAAATTGAGTTCACTGTAATTGACACTCCCTCACCTTACAATGCTATCCTAGGAAGACCATGGTTGCATACAATGAGGGCTGTTCCTTCAACATTGCATTAGCTATTGCGGTTCCCAACAGAACATGGAATAGTGGAGGTCAGAGGGGATCAGTTACAGGTAAAGAATTGCTCCATGGCAGCGATGAAATCTACCTGCAACATACGAGAAGCAAAAACAGCGGAGATCGAGGACAAGAGTGTGGAAGTCCTGGATGACATCGGCAAAGAGCCAGCAGAGAAGAGTGAAGAAGCTCTGAAAAAAATCCTTGTCCAGCAAGGAGATGAAGAATGCTTCTTCCTTCTCGACTCGGGCTTAGCGGAGGAAGAAGAAAAAGAGTTAGAGGCATTCATGAGAGCAAACCTTGAAGTGTTTGCATGGACACCGTACGAGGTGCCAGGCATAGACCCCCAGGTCACTTGCCACAGACTGAATGTAGACAAGACGGCCAAACCTGTCATCCAGCGAGCAAGGAGGCCGACACTAATGCATGTTGAGGTAGTACAGGAAGTAGATAGACTTCTAGAGGCCAGAGCCATTCGAGAGGTAAATTACCTGACATGGCTATTAAACACAGTGGTTGTGAAGAAAAAGAATGGTAAGTGGAGGGTCTGCGTGGACTTCACCAACCTGAATAAGGCTTGTCCCAAAGACAGTTTTCCATTACCCAAGATTGACCAATTGGTGGATGCCACTTTAGGGCATGGAAGGATGAGCTTCCTAGATGCCTACAAGGGGTACCATCAGATAGCTATGTACTCTCCAAATGAGGAAAAGACTGCATTCATTACCCCAAAAGGGTTGTATTACTACAGAGTAATGCCTTTCGAGTTAAAAAACGCAGGAGCAACTTACTAGAGGTTGGTGACAAAGATGTTTAGACATCTAATTGGCAAAACTGTAGAGGTATACACAGATAACATGGTCGTGAAGTCCAAGGAACCTAAAGGTCATCTGGAAGACTTGAAGGCAGTCTTTGACATACTTAAGACATATCGGCTATGACTCAATGCATCGAAGTGTGCACTTAGGGTAGGGTCTGGTAAGTTCTTAGGATATTTGGTTATCAGAAGGGGCATTGAGGCTAGCCCAGATTAGATTAAAGCCATCTTAGAATTGAAAAGCCCAACATCGGCAAAACAAGTACAGATGTTGACCGGAAGGGCTGCAGCCCTAAACAGATTTATAAGTAGAAGCTCTGACAAGTGTAAACATTTCTTCAGCTTAATGAAGAAGGCCACAGACTTCTTATGGACTGAAGAATGCGAAGTCGCCTTGGCCGACTTGAAGAAGTATCTAACCATGGCTCCAGTTCCTTCAAATCCAGTACTTGGAGAGGAGCTGTTCTTATACTTGGCAGTGTCAGAACATGCAGGGAGTGCAATAGTTGTCAGAGAAGAAAAGGAAGAGCAAAGGGCAGTCTACTGCGTAAGTAAAACCTTAACGGATGCAGAGACCAGGTACTTACCCTTGGAGAAGTTAACACTGGCTTTAGTAATGGCTTCCAAGAAGCTAAATCATTACTTTCAAGCACACAAAATTGTGGTGCTAACTAAACATCCTTTAAGGTCCCTATTGCAGCAAGGAGATCTGACAGGAAGAATAGCCAGATGGGCAGCGGCCTTGGGCCAATATGACCTAGAATTCAAACCCAGGACAGCAATCAAATGCCAAGTCTTAGCCAACTTCGTGGCCGAGTTCACATCGGAGGCCGCCATACATCAAGCTTCGTTGAGCCGAGGTGTACAATGCCCAAGTGAGCAAATAGGGACCCCGTTGGGAACAACAGAGCAAAAGAGGGAAGAGAAACTCAGGCTCTATAGCATTTACATCAGCGACTCCTTTCGGCTGTTTGTTGATGGAAGTTCAAACCGACAGGGAGCGGGGGTAGGAGTAGTGCTAGTATCTCCAAATGGGCAGGTACTGGAGCAATCCATTCATCTAGGGTTTAAGGCCTCAAACAATGGAGCAGAATATGAAGCACTAATCGTAGGATTAAAGCTGGCAGCAGCCATGGAAGCTGACAAGGTAATAGTTTTCTGTGATTCACAACTTATAGTTAACCAGGCAACAGGCGAGTATGCAGCCCGAGATTAAAGGATGTCAGCCTATGTAAAAGAAGTGGGAAGAATGATGGCAATGTTCCAAAATTGCCTACTACAACAAGTCAACTGAGATGACAACTGCCATGCTGATGCCCTGGCCAACCTGGCTAGTGCAATGAAACTAGGAGAAGCAAGAACAATAATGGTTGATTACTTGCTAGGACCAAGTATAGAACCACTGAACACAGAGCATGAAGTAATATATGTGGAGATGGAACTAAGCTGGATAGATGCAATAATAGTATTCTTTCGAGATGGGAAGCTGCCAGATGACCGAAAACAAGCGCACAAGATTAGACTGAAGTCGGCAAGATTCTATTTAACAGCAGAAGGACATCTCTACAGAAGATCTTTTATTGGACCCCTTCTAAGGTGTGTGCATCCTGCACAGGTTGAAGACTTTCTGTATGAAATACATGAAGGAGTATGTGGAAGCCACGCTGGGAGCAGGTCACTTGCTCATAGGGCCATTACTCAGGGGTACTGGTGGCCCTACATGCAGAAAGATGTTGAAGCCTATGTCAAGAAGTGTGAGAATTGCTAGAGGTTTGCACCTTTGATACATCAACCAGCAGCAGACTTAAACCCAGTATCCAGTCCTTGGCCATTTGCCCAATGGGGCATGGATCTTGTTGGAAAATTTCCCCAAGCAACTGGACAAAGGAAGTACCTACTGGTAGCAACAGATTACTTCACAAAATTGGTAGAAGCTGAACCCCTTGCCAAGATTTGGGACATTGATATGAGGAACTTCATCTGGAAGAACATCATCACCAGGTTTGGGATCCCAAGAGCAATAATAGTGGACAATGAAACACAGTTTGACAGTAAGCTAATCAAGAGCTTCTATGCAAAGTTCAAAATCAAGAATTATTTTTCCACCCCAAGTTTTCCTCAAAGCAATGGACAAGCAGAAGCATCCAACAAAGTTATCCTGGATGGGATTAAGAAGAGGTTGCAAGCAGCAAAGGGAAAGTGGGTGGATGAATTACCTAGTGTACTCTGGGCATATCGGACTATGCCGAGAAGATCAACTAGGGAGTCCCCATTTGCCATGGCTTATGGCACAGAAGCAGTCATTCCACTAGAGGTCGACATCCCAGGGATCAGAACCCAGGGAGTGGAGAATGGAACTAACGATGTATTTTTAGCCCGAGATCTGGATTGCTAGAAGAAAGAAGAGAGAAAGAAATAATACAGCTAGGGGCATACTAGCAGCAGCTTGCCTGAGCTTATAATAAGAAGGTGCACTCACGAGAGTTCCAAGTTGGTGACCTCGTCCTGAGAAAAGTCGTCGGCAACAAAAAGGATCCTAGAGAAGGCAAGCTCGGCCCGAATTGAGAAGGACCCTATAGAATACTTGCAATCTGAAGTTTTTTTTATCACTAGACCTTATTGTCTTTCAAGTTTTCTCTTGTCATTAGCCGAAGTATTAATAAAAGATTTTAGATTGATTTTTGAACTGGTGTATGGTGACTAAATAAGTACTTGACGACTTATTATATGGCAGAGTAGAAACTTTACTTGCATATAATAGAGTTGAACTAAGTTGGGTAAACCTAGACTTGTCATATCAGCAAAATCAGACACAGATTGGAGCCAAAATGTATGTCAGTCAGATTAACAAAGAGACCGAGGTTGGTAACCTCGGCTAGTCTTTGTTTGAATCTAACCTCGGCGACAAGATCAAAAGCCACATGCTTAATGAGAACCCAAGTGAAACTTAAGTTCACATTAGGGGGCAGAGGGCTGGAGAATAATACTTGGGAGTTGGAATTTACAAAGAAGATGGTTTAACACTTGTTAAAATTTTGAGAAAAATTTACAAGTTGAAGTTAAGCTGAGGTTACGTTAAAAGAAGATGGTTTAACACTTGCAATTTTGAGAAAAATTTACAAGTTAAAGTTAAGCCGAGGTTACGTTAAAAGAATATGGTTTAACACTTGTTAAAATTTTGAGAACAATTTACAAGTTAAAGTTAACACAAGATTATGCTGCAATAAGAGAAGACAGAGGTCTTGCGCAAAGTGGCAAGTTATAAATAACACTTGTGCGAATATTGTAAATATCTCCAAGTGTGGAGGACATAGCTGAGATAAACTGTTAAGTGGGTGTATCTGAAGTATTCCACACCAAGAGGATTACACAGTTAAAGTATACGATAGAAGACATATTCAAAGTATAA